AAAGCTTCATTTTTGATTAGTAATATGCATTGCTAAGAACTTCATTTGGACAACTTTAAAGATGATTTTCTTAATATTTAGAATTTTTTTGCACCCTCAGATTCCAGATTTTCAAATAGTTGTATCTCGGCCAAATATTGTCCTATCCTAACAAACCATACATCAATGGAAAGCTTACTTATTCAGCTTTCAGATGATGCATACCCTTATGACTGGTTTTGTGGTCCAGGGTCACATATATGCTTATACGTGTGACAATAAGCCATTTCAAAACAAATCACGTTTAATTGCAGAATTCCAGGTGAGGAACTTCACTACCCATAATCTTGAAGCCAAAGAAGTTGCGGTTACCATGAAAACATAATAAATCTTTATGGCAGTGGATTTATGGAGGCTAGCTAGGTAATTATACACTGTGAATCAATATGGGACGTTGTAGCAATCGTGTACCTTTGTTGTTTTTTATTTTATTACTTTTTTTTGCTTGTAATGTTGTGATTATTCTGGAGTTGGTTGATTTGGTTCATAACTGATTATGAGTTCCCTATGGAGAAAATGAATGGGGAAACACTTCCAGCCAATCACTGTTGAGCCCTATTTCAGATGCATCAACCACGATCAGATTGTGAGCTTGTATGACGTGATTTCACATCAAACAATGCGAACGTACTTGGGAATTCCTCCTGCAAACACACAAATCACTTTATTCCCATTTCAACATCTGTTTATAAAGTTGTGTAGGTCATTTAGGAAGTGTGTGGTCTCACATCCAAGAAGCTCAATCACTGTTGAGCCCTATTTCAGATGCATCAACCACGATCAGATTGTGAGCTTGTATGACGTGATTTCACATCAAACAATGCGAACGTACTTGGGAATTGGGGAGAAGATGCTCAGTCCTGCACGAAATTTCTTGATGGTTCCTCCGGCTTTGAACCAGCTGTGTCGCTTCTCCTGCTGGGCTTTGAGGAGCTCATTGCTGAGGTGCTTCCACTGCTGCGACGTGAACGTACTGAGGATCCTAGAAACACCAAAACAAGCTTCAGCCTTCATTTTGACTCTAATAAAACTGCAGTGAAGAAGAATCTTTATGAAAATTATTGTTCCAGTTCTAGATGCTGATTGGCCAATCCAGTGTTCCAATACACACTACCACTGAAAAGTTTGGGGTCAGTAAGCTTCTTTAATGATTATGCACGCCAAAGCTGTATTTAATATTTGATCACAAATACAGTAAAAATGTGAAATATTATTGCTATTTAAAATAAATGTTTTCTATGTGAATATCTGTTAAACTGTAATTTATTTCTGTGATGCGCAGCTGTATTTTCAGCATCATTACTGCAGTCTTCAGTGTCACATGATCTTCAGAAATCATTCTAATATGCTGATTTGCTGCTCAAGAAACATTTCTGATTTATTATCAATGTTGAAAACAGTCGTGCTGCACAATATTTTTGTGGAAACCGTGATGCATTTTATTTTTCAGTATTCACAGATGAATAGAAAGTTAAAAAAAAACAGCATTTATTTGAAATAGAAATCTGTAACATTATAAATGCCTTTCCTGTCACTTTAGATCAATTTAATGCATCCTTGCTGAATAAATAAATATTGTATAATGAACAATAAAAATGTAAATCTTTCTTTTAATTCTATATGGTTGCCTGTATGTTGACTTACTTCTTTAGTTGAAGACCCAAACTGAAGCCTTCTTTAGTGGACGGCTGAAACACCTCCACAGATGGTTCTGTTGGAGTAAATTAAATAAAAGTACTGTAAAGTAAATAAGTACTGTCTCATGCACAGAAATGCATGCATGCATGTTTCTCACCTGGTCCATCCAGGTACTGTGAAAGAGAGAAACGAAGGCGTAAGACGATGGGCTCAGTTCGGATCACCTTCCATGCGGTCGCCACCTCCTCCTGCAAACACACCAAGAAAAACAGTAATATTGTGAAATATTATTATGATGTAAAGTAACGTTTTTCTATTTTAATATGCATTAAAATGTAATTTATTTCTGTGATGCAAAGCATCATTACTCCAGTCTTCAGTGTCACATGATCTTCAGAAATCATGCTAATATGCTGATTTGTTATCAGTGCTGGAAACTGTTCTGCTGCTTAATACTTTTTTTGGAACCTGTGATACTTTTTTTCAGGATTCTTTGATGAATAAAAAGTTAAAAAGAAGAGCATTTACTTAAAATAGAAATATTTTCTAACAATATACACTACCGTTCAAAAGTTTGGGGTCGGTAAATTTTTATTCTTTCTTTTTTTGAAAGAAATTAAAACTTTTATTCAGCGAGGATGTGTTAAATTGATAAGAAGTGATGTATTTTTAGAAAAGATCTATATTTTTAATAAATGCTGTACTTTTTAACTTTTTATTCCTCAAAGAATCCTGAAAAAAAAGTATCGCAGTTTCCAAAAAACACAACTGTTGCAACATTGATAATTCTAATAATAAATCAGCATATTAGAATGATTTCTGAAGATCATGTGACACTTTATACTGGAGTAATGATGATAGCCAGGTACTGTGAAAGAGAGAAACGAAGGCGTAAGACGATGGGCTCAGTTCGGATCACCTTCCATGCGGTCGCCACCTCCTCCTGCAAACACACAAATCACTTTATTCCCATTTCAACATCTGTTTATAAAGTTGTGTAGGTCATTTAGGAAGTGTGTGGTCTCACATCCAAGAAGCTGATGTTGATTTGCAGGTCGATGTCCACGTCATCGATGGTGCCGTACTCTCTGCAGGAAGAGCAGCAGACTCAGAATGAAAGTGAATCGGGTGTGAACGCATAGATCTGAACCCGAAAGTGGAGCGAGGCTCGTTCTCACCTGACGGACACAGCGCTGTCTGTGTAAATGTCTTTTACAGCCTCGATGTCAGCGTCCAGCTGTGGGTGACGGTACAGGTCGGCTGCACAGCTCCCCTACAGGTGGACAGCGATATTACACCTTATTAAACTGCACTTCATTGCAAGAGATGTACACTACCGCTCAAAAGTTTGGGATCAGAACGATTTTTAATGTTTTTACGATCATGTGACACTTTATACTGGAGTAATGATGATAGAAATTCAGCTTTGCATCACAGAAATAAATTACATTTCAATGCATATTAAAATAGAAACCATTATTTTATATTGTAATAACATTTTGCAAGATTACTGTTTTTTTCTGTATTTTTGATCAAATAAATGCAGCCTTGATGAGCAGAAGAGACTTCTTTAAAAACTACAAGCCTTACTGATCCCAAACGTTTGACCGGTAGTGTACATAACTAGTGATTTGTTTCTGCAATAACATTCATTTAAGATTAAACCCAAAAGGAAATATCTCATACATGAAGAAAATGAAATGAAAAATAAAATGACTTTTGCTGCTTTATAATACTGGCAACATTACTAACAATACAATTACTTACAAAATGTCTAAAGGCAGGTTACACCTGTGAAGGAAAAGTGTTTTACCTGAATCCCGTACAGGAACTGCTCCGGTTCATTCTCTCCGTCTGATTCTTCATCCGTCCAGCCCTGGCCTTTGATATCCTGAAGAAAACACACACAGTGCTATTTTAGTAGCATTTATATATTATTATAGTATTTATTGATGTTTTGAATTAGCTTTTATTTTTATATTTTCAGTTTTTATTTGAATTTCAGTTTAGTTGAAGTTGTAATACTTTTATTATGTGCTTTCGTTTTTTTTAAATATACTTTTTTTTTCAGTTTTGGTTTCAGTAATTTTAGTACTTCAACCTAAACTCAGTTAGTTGCCAAGGCAACATTTCTAATTTTCATTTATTTTTTTTAAGTTTTGCATTTAATATTTATATTTTATTTCAGCTTTATTTCAATTAATAAAAACTATTTTTAATCGTTTTTTGTTTTCGTTAAACATGCACTTTTATTCTGGATTTTCCACTGAACACACAGTGCTGCTAATCACTTCAATAGTTCATTATTTTGAGAACCCACTAAATAATAATAATAGTGGGTATAATAATAATAATAATAATAATAATAATAATATATTTTATTCATAAAGCGCCTTTCTCACATTAAAAAAAAAAGTTAACATCTCCAAAAGAGATCAAAAATAATAAAGTAAATTGAAATCAATAGATAAAAGAAAATAAAAAACAATTATACATATTATATTATACAACAATTATTCTATTCTATTCTACTCTATTATACAACAATTATTCTATTCTATTCTATTATATTATATTCTCCACAAGACGTTCGTAATAGTGACTCTCATCTTATTTTCAAATCTAGTTTGAAGACGCATCTTTTTAGACAGGCATACCGGTGATATTTTTATGCAATGATTGTAAAGATATGATTGTGGGTTGTGACTTTTATTGTTGCTTGTTAACTGTTTTATGTGTTTTATTCACATGTAAGTTGTCCTTGAGTGTTACGCAAGGCGCCCATAAATAAAATGTATTATTATTATTATTATTACATACAAAACAATAGAAATAAACAAAATGTATTAAACTCATAAACGAATTTAAAAGCATGAGTTTTTAATAATTTCTTGAAGCAACATACATTGTAAAAAAAAAATGCATAAAAGTAGGGCACAATGTACCATGCATTAACATGAAGGAATTTTCCATATTTATTTTTTTACAGGTGTTTTACCTGTACATTTTTTTTTTTTTTACAGTGTAAGGCTGGGGTTCTTCCAAAAAAAATGGCAGCAAAAAAAAATGTCACAATGTCACCATTCATTCCAGCTCACGCACAATTAGAAAAACATCCAATCCAAAAATCCAATTCAAGTACATTATACTTCAAATGAAACTGCAAATTTGCAATTGATGCCTATGGGATGTTTTGAGTGAGCAACCGTATCCGAGGAGGGCGGAGCTTAGTGAAAGCTCAAATAAAGAGTCGCGTGTCATCTCACATCTGTTACTCCTCAGCCAGCGTTTGTGTGCAGAGAGCCGCAGGTGAACGCAGGTGTTTGCGCGTGTAATGAAGCGTGAGCACTCACCATTGGCTCTGGTGTTCACAGACACGTTTCTGACAGGATGAAGCTTTTCTGATCCATTTCAGCTCAAACAGCAAAACAACAGGCACTCTGGGACGACAGGAGACGTCTTCAGTAAGATGAGCTCTGAGGAAAAATAAACAGAAGATCAGACAAATCATTGATCAAAACCACAGAGCGCTCTCCATCTAACTCAATAACCAGTTACCAGAGAGAAATGTTTAATAATAATAAATGTAATAATACAAATTACAAAAAAAACTCAAAAGCAAAACTGGATTTTTACAATGCATAGAAGACTTAAGGAGAGACTCTTTTCACTTAAGACAATAACAAACATACTTAGAAATAACCCTAGCAACCATTCAGAAGACCCTAGCAACCGCATAGCAATGCACAACAAACCTCCCAGAACGCTTTTGTAACCAGGCAGCAACACTCTTGCGTCGTAACCTTTGCACGGTCACACATCGCTGACATTTTCCTCACATGAAAAACTCCAGTGTCATATTTGTGAGACTGTAGACGACAGGTGTCTTTCTGTCTTTCTGTCTCTGGTTTCAGCGCAACCGTTTAAAATAATGTTCTGTTCTTTCTCCTCCATCTCGCCACTGTGTATCCTAGCAACAACCCCTTCTGTCTGTGTCACTGTTGTGTGTGTGTGTGTGTGTGTGTGTGTGTGTGAGAGTGTGTGTGTGTGTGTGTATGTGTGTGTGTGTGTGTATGTGTGTGTGTGTGTGTATGTGTGTGTGTGTGTGTATGTGTGTGTGTGTGTGTATGTGTGTGTGTGTGTGTATGTGTGTGTGTGTGTGTATGTGTGTGTGTGTGTGTATGTGTGTGTGTGTGTGTATGTGTGTGTGTGTGTGTATGTGTGTGTGTGTGTGTATGTGTGTGTGTGTGTGTATGTGTGTGTGTGTGTGTATGTGTGTGTGTGTGTGTATGTGTGTGTGTGTGTGTGTGTGTGTGTGTGTGAGTGTATGAGTGTATGAGTGTGTGTGTGTGTGTGTGTGTTTATGTGTGTGTGTTTATGTGTGTGTGTGTGATTTATAGAAGCAATTTCCTGTGCATAAGTCATATCTGATAAATACTGACAAAGAACACCACACAGATGTCACAAAACCTGCCAAGAACATGCACGACTTATGTTTCTCCCCAAATTCAAAAGATACAAATAAAAAAATATTTATGCATCCTGTATTAAAATAATTTTAGGACCATTGCTATTTTTTTTGCATTGTGACATTATTTTTAAAATTAATATTTAATTGATTTTTAATGCATTTTCACTTGAATACATTACAATGAGAAGCTAAGGATGAAACATTATTATAAAATTACTGTAAAATATGTATGTTTTACAAGAATATACTATTTTAGTCTTTCTACTACAAATTTTCATGTTTAATTCAATGTGTTATTTGCAGTTTCTTTGTAATTAATTGTGAAATTTACAAGCAATTTCTGAGTGAAAACTGTTTCCACACCATTTTTTTTTTCATTGAAGGATTTACTTTGTTTGCATTGTGATATTATTTTTAACATTCGTATTTAATTTATTTTGATGTATTTTTACTTTAATACATAAATGAGATTTCAATGAGATTTACAATTAAAAATGCTGATTTTGTTTATTCTTTGCTTTTATTGATACTTTTATTTTTTATACATCTGTTGTGATTATTTTATGATTATTTAAAATGATTTTTATGTGAATTACTATTCTGAAATTTGCTATATAAATAAACTTGCTTGCAAATTACAAATAAAATTCAAAACATATGGATGCATTACAGAATTTCAAAATGTTTGGAAGCAAAATCTGTTTAATTGTCATGAAAACAAAGCACACAAAGCACAAATCTTTAGTGTATTCCTGTTTCTTTGGCCATGAATAATAACTCATTTCAAACTTCATTTGAAAGCAGAAATATAAATATAGAGCTTGGATGAAAACTGTAAGACAAAACAGAAGTAAAACAGCACAGGTGACATCTGAACACAAACACATGCAGTCTTTACAGATCTTCAGATCAGGTCTAAAACATCTGAGAAATCCAAAAGCTTTCCGCTTTTCATCTTTTTCTTTGACAAACAGGCATTTTGTTTCTATAAAGAGTAACAGTTTCTCTCTTCACCACTATTTTTGTCTTAATACACGTCTTTGTGAATATCATCCCTCAGCTGATGGATGCATTCAAGTCTTTTATATCAGACCTGCATGAAACCAGTCAGATGTTTGATGCAAATACTAATATAATGATGTCTAGAGAGTAAATTGAACGACAACAATTAAGATGCACACAAATACCTGGAATTTTATATACTATGTTCATTAATAAATATGTGGCTCTCAGTAGATTTTGGATGGAATAACACTTGTTAATCATGCAGTCGTATGCACTCAATGAATAATGGGCGATATATCGGTCTAATCATCGCATTCGACAGCATCCATCTGCTTGAATCCCCCGGTGTGTCCTCAAACACCCATAATGCCCCGCTGGAGTCGCCACATACCGATGCATCCCGAAAACACAGACGGCCAGCATCCACGACACCCCCTCCCCCACATCCAGCTCACCTTCAGCGAGGACGGAGCGACCGCCAGACGGATGCTTCTCCTCCGACACGACACACAGCGGATGAAAAACACAATACATCAAGAAACACAGCACGCACAGAGCATCCAGTACAGCAGAATCCCTGTGCACTAGCAGCGGTCACCCATCTTCCGGCTCTCTCTGTGTGTCTGTGTGTTTATCTATCGCAGACCTCGTCTGTTCCAGTGCTTCTTCTTTTTTGCCTGACAACACAGTGAACTGAGCATGCTCAGAGAGAGCCAGCAGAGAGAGTCATGTGACCTACAGCTGACAACAGAGAGAGAGAGAGATGCAATGCATTTGCCTGGATTATCAGAAAAAAGATCAAACACATTCAAGAGCAATAGTTGTCTTTGTAGTCTTTCATCTGATTTTATTACATTTGCTGGCACCTTGTTTTCTGATGCTTTGCCAATATTGTAAGTAAATCATCCCAAGTGATGGCTTTGAATTTGAAAACTGAAACTGAGGGAGACAGAAAGAGCGGGATGAAGAGAATAAAGCAACATCTCCTTGCTGATGTATTATTAGTTGATGGTGTATTAGCCAATGGCAGTGTGCTATTTTTATCAGCCGAGTCTATTTTTATCTCTGTGTATTTTTATGATTGTGTATTGAGGAATGTGAGCAGAACACAGAGTTTTGTATCTATGCATGTGATTGTGGTCTTTACTCCAGCTCTAGTCTGCGGTGTGAAGGCCTCAGCCGTTACCATACTAATTAGAGTTTACCCTGCTTACCTCGTTAAGAGCCTCGCTGTACACAATGACCTCCAGAGCGAGAGAGAGAGAGAGAGATAAGCCATTATCCGGCTCGTCCTCGGCTGCGTGACTCACGTCTCTGAGAGAGACACAGCGCTGCCTCATATCCTGCCATCCTGTAAAAAAGACACATGCATTAATTATTCATAAGCACTTAATATAGCAAATTCCTATTTTAGAACCGACTAAAGCAGAACTGCTCTGAAATGAATGCTTCACACACTTCACCAGTGTGTTTTAGATGCAATTCAGTGTGACAAATTGCGTTTATCTATTAATTAACACTATTAAAAAAAAAAAGTAAAAAAAATTTAAAAATTGGTAATTGAAATAAAGCTGAAATAAAATAAAATATAAATATTAGTAGAACTTAAGAAACTTCAATTTAAAAAAAATTGTTGCTTTAGCAACTAACTAAAACAAATAAATAATGAGTACTAAAATTAATTAAACTAAATCTGTAATAAAATAATTTAAAGCTATATTGAAATTTTACAAAAAAAAAACTAAAAAAATTACAAACTAAAATAAAATTAGTTATAAAAAATTCTTAAAACTTAAAATTTAAAAAGAAAACTGAAAATAAAAAATAAAGAATAATTCAAAATATTACTATAATAGTATTTAAATAATAATAGAATAATACTGCTGAAATTACTGAAATAAAAATATAAAAAAACTCAAACTTATTTTGTTTCAGTCGGTTGCCAAGGCAACAGCTCTCATTTTCATTTATTTTTAATTTAAAAATTAAATATTACCGGTAAATAATAAATAAGATATTAAAATATGACAAAAATGAAAACAAGAAAATTGGTAAAACTTTAACTAAAATTAAAATGCAAACATACTGTAATTCAAAGTATTAATAAAAACTATAATAGTTCCTAAATTTCACTAAAAGAACATTGCTGAGAACATCAAGTAATCTTATAATGCACGCTATTATAAACATTCAGTTTGTGTATCTGTTCCTCTGGAGACTTAAAGGAGACAACTTTATCAACGGAGTATCGGATTTATCTCAGATGTTGCTCTAAAAATTCCTTTGAAAAATAGAAACAGGCCCTGAGTCAGTATAGAATACAGAGCATTAAAGTGAATGATTTTTGATTGCAGACTTTGTTGAGTCACTGTTGAGTGTTTGAGAGTCTTAATCCAGAACAGTGTTGCTACTGACGGCCAATCCAGAGAGCATCAGTGGGATTTACGCTGGGATTTGACCACTGCCCGTCGATGCAGGCATCAGTTGTGGCTTACAGCTCGGGGTTGCGCGGATTGGTCGATGGGTTTGGGCGAGAGGCACAAGGACACGCAGCAGGTGAGCAGCGGTCAGCATGGGCAGCGGGAGCAGCAGCAGCGGCGGGGCCGTCATGGAGAGCAGGTGAGTTCTCACACCTTCACCTGGACACAGACGTGCAGATGGTCAATGCAGTCTGACCGCGTCAAACTGAGTCATCTTCAAACAGTAACCAATACTAGTCCAGAACATGAAATGCTGCATACATTAAAATGATGCATCCTCATCCTGTTTAATACTGTCAGGTTCAATGCAAATCAACCCTGCACGTTCTCAAATATGGCCAAGGTTTCCTATAAACCCTTTATTTTAGTCTGAGCGTCAGTGTTGTGGAGGTTAAAGTACAGATTTGCAGTGTTTATGCAAAACTGGTGCATTTTTATTTGCAGAGGCCTGAATATGAATAAAAATCCCACACAAACCCAGTGACCACCAGGTGGAGAAATACTGTGACTGGACAGTTTA